GCTCATCATATCGTGTGCATCAGAAAGAGAGTGTTGCGTCTCGTGCACCTCCATGTAGAGACTGGAGACGGACGCAACCCTCTCAACCGAAGTCTTCTAAGTCGAAGCCGGATCTGAGGACCGTTCTTCAGGCGAAGAAGACTTCGGTTCAAAAAAAAAAAAAAAAGGTCCTGATGTTCATGCATCAGGCCTGTGAGGACAGCCCCGACCGAAGTGGAGCGGTGTACACCTCATTATACGGTGCCCGTTCCATTTCGGGGTCCTCACGAGACCGTTCTGCCAACCCTGCCACCCTTGGTGCTTCAGGGCGCAGCGGTCTCCAGCGAGTCGCTGATGCTATGCTGCGGCACAGCATCGGTTTCGCGCCCTCTGAGGGGGGCCTTAGAGCGGCCAGTTCAGGTAGTTCCTGCCATTATGTTTCAGGCTCCGGAATTGGCTGTCTCGATAACACCAGAGACCAGCCTCGAGAGGCTGGTTCCCTTAGTAAATTTTCTGGCAGCGTGGAAGCTTCTGCCGAATATTTCTCATTGGGTCCTGCAGATTGTAGAGAAAGGATACAGAATCCAGTTTGGTTCTCGTCCTCCTCGTTACAACGGGGTGCTGCCCACAGTGGTGCATCCCGAGCAGGCTCTGGTAATGGAGCAAGAGGTAAAGGCCCTGTTAGCAAAGGAAGCTATAGAACAGGTGTACTCACCCGACAGAGAGTCGGGTTTTTACAGCCGTTATTTCATTGTTCCAAAAAAGGATGGGGGGTTGCGTCCCATTTTAGATCTTCGTCTGTTGAATCGTTCAGTACAGAAACTCAAGTTCAAGATGCTGACACTCAAACAGATCGTGACTCAAATCAGATCCGAGGACTGGTTTGTCACGATAGATCTGAAGGACGCCTACTTCCATGTCTCCATCCTCCCTCAGCACAGGAAGTTCCTAAGGTTTTCTTTCGGGGGCAAAGAATACCAATATCGGGTTCTTCCTTTCGGTCTAGCTTTATCACCCCGCACGTTCACGAAATGCGTGGATGCAGCTCTAGCCCCTCTCAGGCTTCAGGGCATACGTATTCTGAACTACATCGACGACTGGCTGATTCTGGCGGAATCAGAGCAGTTGGCGGTTCGGCACCGAGGTGTCGTTCTCGCCCATATGCAGATGTTGGGGTTGAGGCTCAACGCCAAGAAGAGTGTTCTTTCTCCAGTACAGAGAACCACTTTCCTTGGTGTGGTATGGGATTCAGTGACGATGCGGGCCACTCTATCGCCCGTTCGTGTAGCTGCTATCCTGACAGCCACCAAAGAGCTAAAGCTAGGCCAGTCACGCACTGTGAAACAGTTCGAGAGACTGTTGGGTCTCTTGGCGGCAGCGTCCAACGTGATTCCTTTTGGCCTGCTGTACATGAGACCTTTGCAGTGGTGGCTCAGGACCAGGGGGTTCTCCCCGAGGGGAAACCCACTTCGTATGATCAAGATCACGCGGCGATGCCTTCGTGCCTTGGTTATATGGAAAAAACACTGGTTCTTAACCCAGGGTCCGGTGTTGGGAGCTCTCTGCCATCGAGTTACGATCTCGACAGATGCTTCCCTCACCGGCTGGGGAGCGGTAATGGAAGGCCGCTCGGTTCAGGGTCTGTGGAAAAGTCATCATCTTTCGTGGCACATCAATTGCCTGGAGATGATGGCTGTCTTCAATGCGTTGAGACAGTTTCTCCCAGACCTGAGGGGCCATCATGTGCTTGTACGAACAGACAACACATCAGTGGTCTCTTATCTGAACCGTCAGGGGGGTCTGCGGTCGCGTCCGCTCTGCAAACTGGCGCACCAGATCCTCCTGTGGTCTCTGGGGAAGGTACTCTCCCTGAGGGCAGTGTATATTCCTGGGGACCAGAATGTGGGGGCAGACATCCTGTCGAGGCAGGAGCTGAGGCCAGGGGACTGGAGACTCCACCCCGAGGCGGTGGAAAAAATTTGGGAGTTTTACGGCCAAGCAGAGGTGGATCTGTTTGCGTCTCAGCACACGACGCACTGTCCACTTTGGTTCTCCCTTACTCACCCAGCCCCCCTGGGGCTGGATGCTATGGTGCAGACGTGGCCGAGGCTACGTCTGTACGCATTTCCCCCTGTTGCTCTGCTCCCAGGAGTTCTGGAACGAGTCCGCCAGTACGGAATAAGCCTACTGCTTGTAGCACCACGCTGGCCGAGTCGGATCTGGTTTGCGGACCTGAGACGGTCCTCCCTTGGAGATCCCGATCAGGAGAGACCTTCTGTCTCAGGCCGGGGGCACAATATTTCACCCTCGACCAGAGATTTGGAACCTGTGGGTTTGGCCTCTGAGGGGGCCCAACTCATAGAGAGTGGTCTCTCAGCTGAGGCTGCTGAGACCATCCTAAGCTCCAGAGCTCCAGCTACTAGGAAACTATATGCGCTGAAATGGAAAGTTTTTTCTGTATGGTGTCACCGACATCAGTGGGATCCGGTTAACTGTTCTGTGAACACAGTACTCGAGTTCTTGCAGGAGCGCTTTACGTCAGGTTTATGTCCTTCCACACTTAAGGTTTACGTGGCGGCCATTGCGGCTTACCACGCCCTGGTTGGGGGTACATCGTTGGGTCGAGACCCCCTGATTACACGTTTCCTTCGTGGCACATTGAGGCTGAGGCCTGCAACTCGCACTAGGGTGCCAGCTTGGGATTTGGCAATAGTACTAGAAGGCCTGTCTAGGGCTCCATTCGAGCCCTTAGATTCGGTTTCAGAGAAATTTCTTACCCTTAAGACTATCTTTCTGCTAGCTATTTCGTCCCTTAAGAGAGTTGGAGACCTTCAGGCCCTTTCGGTTTCCCCCACTTGCCTTGAATTTGCACCGGGGATGGTCAAGGCGTTCTTATATCCAAAACAGGGATACGTCCCTAAGGTGCCGACCTTGATTCCGAGGCCTATCGTGCTGCAGGCTTTCTGTCCTCCTCCTTTTACATCTGCGGACCAGGAAAGGCTGAACCTCTTGTGTCCAGTGCGAGCACTGGATACTTATGTTCATCGGACATCGTCTATGAGGAAGTCCGACCAGTTATTTATTTGCTTTGGATCACCTAAGAAGGGTCTTCCTGCTTCTAAACAGACGGTTAGCAAGTGGATAGTCGAGGCTATTTCACTTGCATACGAGTACTCTGACCATCCGTGTCCCTTGGTGGTCAGAGCTCACTCAACGAGGGGTATGGCGGCCTCTAAAGCCTTGTTATTTGGGGTTTCCCTCCAAGACGTTTGTGATGCGGCAGGCTGGTCCTCACCGCTCACATTCGTCAGGTTTTACAGTTTGGACCTGGATGCTGCCCCAGGTTCTCAGGTGCTTAGTGCTTAGTTCCAACAGACTGACACTCAGGTACTTGGAATTCTGGCGGTTTGGGTATTCTCGTTCCCAAAGCGTCAAGTGACGCATCGCGAGTTCCCTCGAAAGGGAACGTCTCAGGTTACTACTGTAACCATAGTTCCCTGAGAAAGGGAACGAGACGATGCGTCACCCTGCCATACTTCCTGCTTCCCTGTGATCGGCTTGCTTCGACTTTTTGAAGCTAATGCCGCGTTTCACCGGGTGAGCCTTTATCCCTTCCTGGTCATGACGTCACCCGCCCGTGACGCTCATTCTTTCCATTGGACTAGTTGACATTGATGCTCAGACGCATGCACGCTGGGGGCGTTCCCAAAGCGTCAAGTGACGCATCGTCTCGTTCCCTTTCTCAGGGAACTATGGTTACAGTAGTAACCTGAGACGTTTTATTTCTGTTGTTTGTTAAACAGATGCAGTATCCACATTCTTAGTCAAAGTATCTACGGCATGTTTCAACTCTGCATTTTCAGTGAAAAAGGTGTCTTTTAGACTCTGATATTGTGTTCGGGTCATTTCACTCAATTGCTGAGGTGTCAGACTGTCCATTAATCCAGTTACTGCTAATGAGGGCTGAGATGAAGGAGATATTGGGGGTCTGAGATCAAAACTTCCTGTTAAGTCCATACCCAGCAGAGTATGTTGAGATGAAAGAGCCTGAAATCCTACCAATGTACTAGGAAGAAGGGATTGAGTTCCATCCTGATCCGAGGCCATTACATCTATAAGATCCTCTTTAAAGGCCTTGGTTGGGGTTTGGTTTTGATCTCCCTCCATTTCATGGCAAGATTTGCTTGGAGATGCAGCCATTTTGTTTGTAGAATTGGTTGTTGTGTTTTGGTTGTTTTGAATGATGAAGTGTGGTTTTGTTTGAGGGTATTTTCCTCCTCACAAGTTTTAATATTTGCGTCCCATCTGGGGTGCCACTTTTATGTAACGGTTTCCCATAATCTTAGTTTGGGTTTTTTTTTATGCTGGAGTGCCAGACAGGATTATCTGTTATTAGTTTAAGTTTGAGGTCATTGTTTAAGTCTCAAGTAAAGAAAACGTACAATGATCTTCTGTAGTCTTTGTCTTACATCGCCATCTTGATTCGGGCAATATATTACGATGACTGTAGATCCATAGAATATTGACATATTTTTGATATTTGTGGATAATGATCACAGATTTATTTCACAGATGAATGATGACTGATAAATGCAGGAAATATAAACAATTCATTACAATTTATGTATTTATTACATGATGACATCATCACAAAGTGTAAATGTTTTTAATGAAATCCGAGAGATTCTTGTCCCTCCACTGAAAGCCTTTCCACTCAAAACTCTGATGCCTCAAAACATTCCATAGGAATGGAGTGGTTTCATCCAAGTCCTCCGAAGAGATACAAACACTTTATAGGATGAACAGATTTCATTTCGGCTTTTATTCACATATAAACCCTGATCAGCAAATGTACATGCAGATCTCAAACATGTTTCATTCTCTCGCGCCACGCAACACATTTGAGCTTCTGTTTGTGTTCACTGATCAATGTTTATATGTGAATAAAAGTCATTTTTGGGTGAACTCTCCCTTTAAATTGAGTAGCAAATGCTTTCATGTTGTCATTGAGTGTGTGTTACCTGTTCAGGTTTGAGGCCAGGTGGAACCCAGGCGTACTCCTCCAGCGCACAGCCAGAGTCATCATCAGAGGTCGAGTTCCTCTGGAAGTCAAACATGATTTTAGAGACTGTCCTCTCCATATCCAGAGCCATATCACCACTTCATTCCATTAAACACTGCAGAAAGACAGACAGACAGGAATGAGAAATGTAGATCTAAGCGTCTTTTACACACTTACAGATCGATGCTGGAATAACTGAAACTTGCGTGCATTTACCTTTTATTTTGAAAACACACACACACACACACACACACACACACACACACATTGTGTTTCCATGTTTTATGGGGACTTTCCATAGACGTAATAGTTTTTATACTGTACAAACTGTATATTCTCTCCCCTTACACTACCCTACCCCTAAACCTACCCAACACACACACACACACACACACTAACCCTACCCCTAAACCTACCCAACACACACACACACACACACACACACACACTAACCCTACCCCTAAACCTACCCAACACACACACACACACACACACACACACACACACTAACCCGACCCCTAAACCTACCCAATACACACACACACACACACACTAACCCTACCCCTAAACCTACCCAACACACACACACACACACACACTAACCCGACCCCTAAACCTACCCATCACACAAAACTTAAATGACAGGTATTACTATATTTGTGGGGACATTTGGTGTTTTATCAAAGCAGTTTATTAAAGCAGTTTATTAAAGCAGTTTATTAAAGCAGTTTATTAAAGCAGTTGACCAAATGCTCAATTAATGTGAGGACACTCACTGACAGAGTACTGAAATAAACTAATTAATTGAAATTGACTGCATAGAAATGTAGCCTTCCAACTCATTTACTGATACTTAGGAATGCAATGCAATAAGGGAACACATCAAACATAGTTTAAACACTACATTTAGACAGGAAAAATGATCATTTACATTTCAGTAACCACAAATATTATGGAAAAATAGTGCAAAAAATGTAATATGACAATCAACCAGGCTATATTAGGTATTTCAATAAATAACATTCTTAAGTGCTAGATCAAATAGAAGGAGCTTTTCTAAGGAAACAACTGCGTATTTTCATATTCGACACGTGACGATATTTTAATTAATTTCCAGTTCCACATAATACCAACATTTTTGTTGTATGGATATTCCATTATCTCAAAAACTACATGGTACATGGAAATCATTTCTTTTGGAATATCTGGAGCAATGTATACGACAAAGCCATCTGAATTCATCAAACTGCCTTCAAACACACATTTGTGCGCCTGTTTGATGAATAATAATAAAAAAATACTGATGCCACTATCAACATATCTCCAGCAACATTTCAGCCACGCATGATGAATTCAAATCATTTTAGCACAGAGAGTAGTATGATCATCACCAGTACTTTCTGCATGTAATCGATGGATTTAGGTTTGTGAACCTCTACACCTGAAAGCTTTCTTTCACATTATAAATTATACAATCTTATACCACACAAGACGTCAATGTGACATCACAAACTTGCGCACCACATGAACATTAATTTGGTCTTTAGAATTAGCAGGAAAAACAAGGATAGAAAGAAAGAATATGAATACAACAATCAAAGAAAGGAAAACCACACGGCAATAATGATTTCCAGAAGCATCAGACCAAACCCATGAAATGAATACACTGATTCACCAATCCTACAGTAGAGACGGCACGTTTCAATAGATATGGAAGCCTGTCTTATATCGCTGCAAAGATCGCTAGAACACTCTCCTGTTTAACCATTCGGATGAAAGGCATACAGACCTGCATCTTCATATCAGCATAACCCGAGGGAACCAGAAAAAGAGGAAAAAAAGAGAAGCGCAGTGCTAAAGCAAAGCGAAAATAAATGCTTTTCTCTTTTATGTGTCATGCCTCATCCTTCGCTCTCACTCTGCCTGTGGATGTGACTGTTTCTGTGTGGGTGTGTGTGAGAAAGAAAGAAAGAAAAAAAGGATGAAAAAAGGGAGGGTGGGAGAAAGAGAGAGACAGGGAAAGAGAGAATTTCTTATTTGTGTAAAAGGCAACATGAGAGCAAGCTCTCAACTAAAGGACTGATGTTGACCTTCACATCTCTTTAGACTCTTTATAACATCACAATACTGCTTATTTTACACGTGTTCTTAGCACACAATTATTGCCCAAACAGGACATCAAAACATGACTGAGGCCCAAACACATGACGTATGAAGACGGTGGCACACAGGGCAAGTTACACGCTTTAGGCAAACAATCCATTTCAAGCGATCACGCGCATCACTGTGTCAAAGGTCCAAGATTACACCACAATAAAACATTTGCAGAGACAGGCGTGTAAAACATGCTAAACAAAGTCCATAATTGCCATTTTCTATAAACATCCTCTTCTGAGCATTAGACAATGAGACATATTTTTGGTTGGAATTAAAAAACATAATGTAGGAATATGTCAAATCCAACCGTACAGGACTACACAACTGCATCGCTCTTGTGTTTGTGTAGGTTATGTGTCTGGCCAGAGTTTTACAAACAATACAAAGTAGCCTTAATGTATTGATTTCATGAAACAAATCACTTTCCTGTTTCTCTCAATCCTTTTGGACCCAAGTAAGAAAGTGTATATAGGCTTTCAGTGACGATGATGAAGATGAGAAAATAATCCAAACCCACACACTTGTCGTCAGTCGGTGTCGGCGAGTGGGCTCTGGGTAATACAGCTGTAATTACTGCCGCTGCGCTTGAGTCGATAATTAAGCCTCAGTGATGGCTTCACGTCACTGTGTATTAATGACAAAACCATACGCACTGGGCTTACTTTACATGTTTAGGATGGGTCCTTTTTCACAGTTAATATTTAGCAGTATGTCTCCATTTGATTTAGACCAGTTTGAGGAAATGATGTGCAGTCATGCTAAATGATAAGTTAATCTGTGGAATATGCTGCTTTACAGTTGTAAAGAGACCAGCAATAAGATAAATCACTGAAAGCATAAAACTGCACAAGAATGAAATGACAAACATCAAGCACGTCAGAACTTACAATAGAAAGCACACTCATTTCCAGTTTTCTGTATGCCCTCTAGGTGTAAGATTTTCATATAACCAACAATAAAATAGATGAAAGACGCCCATAGACATGCATTGAAGGAGGAGCTTACACCATATCTAAAAGACCCTACCTTAAAAACAAAGATTCTTTACAGCAAAATGTTCCTTCAGCATCTTTTTGGATATTTTTCTTGATTCTAAAGCACATCTCTGCAGTCTCGGGAACACACAGAGATGTTTGAGCCTTTGGAGTGCTCTCAGTGACCGTGAACACATTAATCATTCAAACTAACAGCAGGATTCTGGCTTTGTCTGTTTCCAGTGAACAGTGCTCGTGCTCTGGTCGCCATGGAGCTCTCGCAGTGACAAGTCTCCGTGGAAACCTTGTGCTGATCCGAGAGCAAGAAAGCACATACCCAGCACACATTTATCAGTGAGAACGTGTAAACCATTCCCCTTTAAACATCACTCACTGTCTCACTGTCTCATTTCAGTCAATCATTTCTTTGCATCAAAATGTCTTTTGTTTGTAGCGACTCACTTTGAGTTAGCAGGGTAATTCTCACAAAAAAAAAAAATCCATGTCACATTTCATCCCAAAATTTAAAGGAACAAAAAATGAACTTCTTCTATATAAGGAATCCTAAACAAATCCTATTGTAATGCCCTTAAGCGTTTTTGCAATGTGACATTATGTAATATTTATGACATCATCATTATTTTCATGCTTGTTTACTAAAAGTGTCATTACTATAATCTATTCAGACTTTTGCTTTTGAGGTTTGGTTTATTAATTATTTTTATGATAGTACTTTATTTCTTCTGTTATTCAGTAAATATTGTATCACAGTCTTTTTTATTTACATCATACAACAGAAGTGACACCATTGTGCAATATCACAAAAATGTCTATTGTTTCAAAATTGTATCACACCTCAACAACTGCATTATTTTGAAGTTGACAAGTAGAATATTTCCTCTTATGAACATCAACAAACAAATACTTTTGAAAAATATTAGTCCTATGTGTATGTGTCAGCAAGTGGTTGATGCCGGGATGAAAAAAGGCTGGATTTATGTGCATCATGGATTTCACGAGTTCACACTTACGAATGATCATAGATTAAATGGTTATGCGTATTTGGTGTGCTGTCCGGTTGGGGGGGGGGGGGGCTCCGAGCTCAGAGTACTCCCCCCGTTTTTCTGGTTAGGAAGAGAACCAGGCAAGTGTGAGGGAAGCTGAAAACTGTTGAGGAATATGGGCGAGTCAACTGCGTATATTTATAGGCCTTACTCATGCTGATTGAGTGGACCTGTTGATTATTGAGTGCTGACAGCTGGTTGGAAAGATTTGATTGTTTGATCATTAGAACGTGTTCCTCCCGAACCTTGTTAATAAAACATAATTTAATGGGCCGATGAAACCTTTCCACCACCTCCTCATGGTATCGGCTGGTAGCAAGGACCTTAATGGCTAACGGTGGGGGTTCCCCATGGCATGGGGTACAGAATCGTTGCATCTACGACACGACGGATGGGGTACAGAATCGTTGCATCTATGACACGCAGGATGGGGTACAGAATCGTTGCATCTATGACACGCAGGATGGGGTACAGAATCGTTGCATCTATGACACGCAGGATGGGGTACAGAATCGTTGCATCTATGACACGCCGGATGGGGTACAGAATCGTTGCATCTATGACACGCAGGATGCGGTACAGAATCGTTGCATCTATGACACGCAGGATGGGGTACAGAATCGTTGCATCTATGACACGCCGGATGGGGTACAGAATCGTTGCATCAATGACACGCCGGATGGGGTACAGAATCGTTGCATCTATGACACGCAGGATGGGGTACAGAATCGTTGCATCTATGACACGCCGGATGGGGTACAGAATCGTTGCATCTACGACACGCCGGATGGGGTACAGAATCGTTGCATCTATGACACGCAGGATGGGGTACAGAATCGTTGCATCTACGACACGCCGGATGGGGTACAGAATCGTTGCATCAATGACACGCCAGATGGGGTACAGAATCGTTGCACCTA